TAGAAGTATTGTCAGTTTTTTTTTTTTGTATAATTAGGAACTGGGAGTTCTATCTTTTAGTGGTTATGGTATAGATGAACCTAAGAGGTAGTTTACTTTACTTCTTTTAATTAGGTGGTACTTCCACAGTTATTGTTATTTAGTAATTATGTAATGTTATAATTTATACATGTTTTTGTACCATGTCGTACATGTACATGAAAAAAAAATGACTGTTATAATGTACTAAAATAATAGTAACACAAAAAAAATTGAATGCACCAAGAACCTTATACTTATTAAAGAATTAAGTTATATACGTTTTTTTAAATTTATACTCATATTATTATTCTAGATAATGCAACCGTACGAAATTTATTAAAAGGATGATGCGTTGTTAGAGGACTGTCGATGAGGTTTAAATTCTAATCGCGTATTTACTATATCATTTTCAATAATTCATTTTCGCTTTACGTGGTCAATTACAATGTGGCCTAGTTGACTCTTCATTTGAACGCCTGGACAGCACCTTCCTCATAGCATTATATTAACATTACATGCGGCTACTACGTATAAGCTAGAAATTTAGAATTTTATTCATAACTTTAGCTAATAAAGGGTTCACAAGCAAAGCACATAGAAAGCAAACCATGTAATTAAAGCATGTTTGTTTTAGCTTTCATGCACCATGAATTGTTTTAACGACCAATCTCTACATAATCTCAACGAATGGTAATAAAAAAAATGTCTTTATCTTGTTAGTATTGCGCACAAAATATTTATAACCTCATACAGCCAGTATCTCCAAATAGTATTTAAATCAAGATAATAATTATATGAAAGAAAGATATATACCTAGAAGTTATTTTGCATCCTGAAAGTATATGTTATTTTGTAAGATATTGTTAACGAACACAGTTTTACAGAAAAAAATCTGTAAAAAAGGGTTTATAATTTATTTTTCGCAATAAATTTAGATGTATTGACAAAAAAAGACTTTTGATGCTAGATTGTTTAATGTTTCATTGCAAAAATATGTTTAACAGCACATGCACCATCCAAACATAGACGAAGATGTGCATACACAACAGGACCATCTTTCGGAATTCTTTTGATAAAGGGACGCGCATGGTCATTTATGTCGACAGTATTATGAAAAAAAAATACAATTCTGTGATTACACAATGGTAGCGAGCCATTTAGGACAAAATCATTGAGGTGACCTCAGAAAGCCGTACAGATCACTGACATACTTTAAGGTCTTCCTTAATAAAAAGCCCTAGGTTAGCATTTAGAATTATAACTTCAACTGAGATTTATAAGCTTGCGGAGAAGCTCACTGGGAGCTTAGGAAGAAAGGTGGATAGATGAGAGCATAAACGAACACAGCAGTAATTTAGGATGCACTGTCTTAAATGAGATACAAGCTGTCTCTGTTGTTTTATATAATTCTGGATTAACTTTAAGGACAATAAACTGATTTTTTTTTGACACAGATAGAAGCATAATAAGAGCCATTAGCTCAACTACAATAGAAAGTCTTTTTAATATTAACACTTATAATGGTGTAAGCGCAGAGAAGCAGTGAGGGACACTTCACCAGCAAGAATGGTGGAGGTGCAGAAGAGTGCTACTCATGGCTTCTCTCGGACTCAGCACGTCTGGTGTTGTTTATTGAGAGAAAAATTGATTTTACCATTCAAAAATCTCCAAAAATATTTTATTGCTATAATGATTAAGGCTTCACTAGTAATAGTGAATAAACTAACTACATTTTTACTAAAATGAGTGTAACCAAGTAAAATTATAATATCTTTTAATTTATTCTTTAACTCATAACTATTTTTTACGTGTGACTCCGCTAGCGGAATATTTGTTACTATTTTGACTAATAATGTTAAGTCGATCTTTTCTGACAGTCCCAAATTCTTCAGAATATTTAAATAAATGCTTAACACTTTTGAAACCATAAAAAGGATTACATTTGTTAACATTTGAAACAAAATTAAATTTATCGCCCAACTCTAATATACATAAGACAAAATCTGGTAGCGGTGTTTTAGAAAGGTTAGATAGACAGTTTCCGCTTATTTCACTTATGCCTTCATTATTGACGAATGCAGGGCACCGAATCGGGCCAGGGTCACTGACACTTGTAGCTGCAAGTGTATCGTATACACCTTTGGGCTTGGATTTTTTATGTGAGAAAAGGGCATCAAACTTTTTCTTGAACTTATAACGAAATTCACGAAAAGTGCAGTTTAATTTTATTTCGTAATAATTATTTAATGAATTTATCATATAAGATTCACAGCCATTGTTTAATATTTTTTTCTTGATCAAACCCTTATTTTGTCATGGTCAATTATATGTGATTTTTTCAAGGGGCAAAAAAAAATCATTTATTTGTTGAAGAAGAAAGAAAAAAGAAAAACAGGATCAAAAAATATTGTTTGAAAAGAAAATTTACATTATAATCCGACTTTACATGACAATTTTTATAAATGAATGACTATTTATCATAAATCGACAAAATTTATAGCAATAAATGAAAAGTTCTAATATTTACGAATATATCATTGTTGAACCATAATACATTACATGATAAGCTTATTTTTTTTCCTTTTTTTTTTTTTTAATTTACCTAGTAACGCGTGCTAAAGATGCTTCGGCATAAGTATAGGTATACAACCGAGCTACATTAGCGCAACTTGACTTTTGATTGTGAAAAAAGGATCAAAGTATCTTTGTCATCAACAAAAACGTTTTGTATGAAGTACAAAGGGCTTGGAAAAAAGATAGCGAATGAAATCAGTCAAGAATAATTTTTTTTATCTTTACAAATAGCTGGTGGGTGTACCCATGCAATAGAAGGCTTGATTAATTTTTCAAAAAAACAAAAACAAACAAAAAAAAGTCATTTGGAGAACCGGTTCGAAGTAATTAATTATTTGGAGTAGCTCGCAAGCGTTGCGAAGGGAGAGTATTTTATAAATTAAACACCATATGATTCCGGAAAAGCTTTAATAGATATATACGGGTGCGATGAATATCGTATTTTATTCAAAATTACCTCCTTTCGATGGATGAAATTTTTAATTTATTTTTTTATAGAGTAAACGAGGAAGATACCCATACAAATCGTTATATAAATACAAAGACAAGGTATAAACAAAACGTATGTAAACTAAAGTTTGTTTCAATCGATGTATTTTTTCTTTTAAATTTCATGTCGCATAATATGCGTATTATTATGTATATTATTATTTCAATGTGCTGCATTAATTTGTCCCTCACACAAATGAGATAAAAAAAGAAACGAATTAGACAAACGAGTACAATCACAGAAATGCCATGACCCTTTATGCTCCCTTTCCCCGGGGTCCTCAATACATTTAATTTCCTCCCAAGGCGAAGCTTAATCTCGGCACTTTGAGGCACTTTGCGCTCAAGCTCGACACTCCATTTCCGAAAACTCCGGCTGATGGCACGCGCAAAAGGAAGGAAAAGCTGCAGCTCGTCTATTCGCAGTTTACCCCGTGAAGGTCGCGCAATCAGGAATTCATGAAATTCCGGGCTTCTTATAATCACCCCCGTCGGGCACTCGCGTTAAATCCATCCGTTGGGAGGCTCTTGGTTAAGGACGTTCGGTAGAGATAGCGGTGTGGAACCACTTGCGGGGCAAGGGAGAAGTAGCGATGAGTGAAGACTTGGCATCGCCGCAGGGGTCTCCAATGTGTGAGTGGTCATGTACACACATATATACACACATCAGTGCTGCGTTGGTTACGGCAGCGCATGTGTATATTTGTAATGTATTTGTGCTAAAGATGTAAGTATTTGATTTTTATTCGTTATAACAATGTAATAAAAATGAGTAATGAAAATGTATGTTCTTTCTTTATCTTGATCCGATAATTTTTCCAAAGCAAAATATTTTAAATAAAAATCTATAATTATGTCGTTCAGGAACTGGCCCTGATTCAGGCATTTAAAGTCTTCTGTTGTAACAGTAATCCCATACTTCATAGGCGGTTTAGGATACACTAAAATACTGATTCAAAATTTTAATTACATACAGTTTGTTAAAAAAAAGATTACATTCTAATAATCAAGACTTCGTATTTACACTTGTGCATTTCTTCGCAAATCCAGTGTGAGACATTGGTCAGAACTCTGCACTTCTATTATCTAAATCATAAATAAATTAAAATTCAGTGTTTGTTTTTGAATATGCAAGTATTAATCACGTGTACATACATCATCGCTGCTTTTTGTCGAAACAGAACAAGATGAATCAGACGAGCTTCTTCTGCGTTTTCGTCTAAAAAACCAAAATATGCCATAAAATTGCACATTACCAACATAATTAATGCAAAGATAACAAAATTTTTCATTAGAATTAAAGCTTACAATTTTTTCATAGGACTGCTAGTTTCACTAATCACAGCATCGTCTATTATTTTCGGATTCGTTGTTTTTCGTGTGTTAATGACATATCTTACATTGTAAATGGGATCATCTTTTACTAAGTAGGTACAAACAATTTCTTCTTCGTGCAATCGTGATCTTAACTAAAGATAAAAATGTTTAAAACCAAACAATCGTCAAAATTTGTATAATCACTTTGGAATTAACAGAAGCATCTTATTTTCTAAGATAAAGTGTGATCAAAATACAAAAAAAATTACCATCATTAAAAGATGTTCAACCTTCCAACTGAAATGACATTCCTTAGGCAGCTGAAAATCAATCAACCACTGGTATCCATTATCAGGGGCAACAAGCACCTTTACCTGATCCTCATCAGGTTTGCGACAAATTGGCGCTTCAGCAGGTTCATCTATCCTCATTGACTGGAGTATATGAATACTTCCAGAACTATTACAATCGCACTTATTGGCACCCTCCTCCTGTTCCTCCTCCTCTTCTAACTCGTGCTCTGGATGCACCATCCTTTTTTAATGCTAGAATATCTTGCCTTACACGTCTTCGAGTTAACCAGCTCGACTGAAAACGGAAATGTGATCTGTACACGCGTTGATTAAGTGATATAACGCTGAGGACCATTCATGGTCGTGTTCCGAGTACTTTATTTACTTTAAGAAAAGATATCTGGATATGGAAAAGGTAAAGACTTGCTTTATTGAAAAAAAATTCATCAACTAGATGTAAATTTTTATTCCAATGATATTACCACGGATTTGGCTTGCTTAAAAAAATATATTTACGTACATTATCAATGAGTGTTACATTTACGACATTTAAAGATCCCTTCTTCAAAATCTTTTTTTCCTTGTTTGTTCATGTATAGGAAATTTCTGAAGTTAGGTGATAACAAATCATAGAATATATATTTCAAAGCTTCCTTATAGCAATTAATTTAGCGCAATTTGTGAATATTTTATTATGCCTATTTTTTTTGTACAAGTAGTGTTTATCAAAATAAGTCACTTTGTAAATCAAACATAAATAATTATTCATAAATACTTAACGATTAACAAACCGAATTTAATAATGACAATATCAC